TACATGAAGGTACATAAGTAGATATAATTGGATGAAAAAATCATGAATCAGTGACCATTATATATATTTTCTTCTAAATGCTTACAAGTAGTTGCTCCACATGAAGCCACACATGCCAAATAAACTGCACAGCCAACTTTGGTAGACTGTCGAATCCCTTAGAGACTCTCATTAGCTGCTAACTTTGGCACTTTTCATTTTGATAGCACTTGGGATGCTTAAAATGCTGCAAAAAGTGCTATTAGGTGCACATAGATCTCCAAACTTTCAGTCGTTTTGAATCAAAGGGGGATAATGAACTAACGATTTGGAACACACCATCTCAACAGCACAGTGCGCAACAAGAGAAGCAAAAGAAACGTTTGGTCACAGCAGTACTTGAAGTCACTGCAGGTGTTTGTGGGTGTGATTGGGGTTTCTCAGGCGCCGCCTTCTCCGAGGTGGTTGTTCCATCTCCACCTGATGGTTTCTCAGGCACCACCTTCACCGGGGCACTTGTTCCACTTCCACCTGCCAATCTGAAATGAATAAATAGTGCAATGTTTCAGGAGGATAGAAAAGAATGTCACTGTCTGCATTGGTGATAGCACCGAGAAAATAATTTTATGTAATCAGCTAGTACCAATCATTAATATAACAACGAGTATTGTCTAGACTACATACTAGAAGTTCATGAATCATGTGAAGTACATAACTAAGAAAAAAGAATTTAAATCATGACCTTTTGAGAGAAAGAAGACAAGGTTGGCAGTTGGATAAGAAGCACAGAAATTTTTTATTATATATGTAAATCAATTATAAGAAAGAAAAAGTATACACTAGTTTGGCTACATTTGATCAGAAAGAGCCCTATCAAGTAAAGGACATAACCATCCTCGCAACTTTATGTACGAACACCTTTGTTTCGGGGTTGGGCCGCTCTTCCTCCTGCTAATCCAGCCATTTCCCAACCTGTCTTTCCCAATGCTTTCAATTCAATAGAGGACCTCAATTCTTGCAATCACTGGACTCTTTAGTTTATTATTATTATTATTATTATACTAAAAAAGTTAAGGTTTAAAACTTTAGCTTGGATATATAAGCTCAACAATCTCTTTCTTCAATAGACGGACATGGCTCCCCACACTCTACATGGTTGTATTTGTACATGTTTCGACTTCCATCCATTATGGATCTCTTGGCATGGAGGCAAAGAGGGGAAGCAACTATGGAGTTTTGTAGACTCTCTCTGTATATAGAATATAATGAAGCAAGCTAGCGTGCTTACTCTCCTAGTTTGAATCCCATTGAATGGCTGTCGTTCCCGGAATGTATGGATTCTCAAGAAGAGGGCCTGTGGTGGTTGCCTCTGGACCGCCCGGATCTCATGAGTTAATCGAATGTTGGATCTACATTGGATCTCACCTTAATCACTCCATCTATCCTCCCAAGGAAAAGTTTGGTTTCAAACCCTGGTTTGAACCTGAGGAGTTCATGAAAGGGAGACCTATCTCCACAACAAGCTCCTCGAATGGTTGAGAATGCTCACCTAACTTTCAAGCAGCAGTTTAGGAATGTATGGTAGAAAAATGTTCAAGAAACAAAAGGAAATTAAGTAGCATAATATCTAGCACACATTGCCAACAAGTATTACACGTATGCATCAATCACACAATCAAGAAGCATCTATCATTATGTGTATGACATCTTAGTATTAGCAAGACCACCACCTCGACATGCTTACAAAAACAGGATTCCTGCAGGGTGGAGCTACATATATGTCAATGATGACCAACCCCCTCTCCCAAATCCTCTTAAGAAAATTTTGGCTCCACTACTCATACAAGTACTTAAATAATTTTTTTCATACAAGTACTCATACAAGTACTCAAATATTCATTCATGCATTTAAAGGAGATAGGCATACAAATGCTTCTACCTTGATGTGTAGGAAAGCAACAGCTTACATTGGAAATGCAAAAGACCCGCCGCTATTACCACTTTCAGAAGAATGGCCAGAAGTGCTAGCAGAAGTATGAGGTCTGTCAGCAGGTGGCACCTTTTTCTTGCCTTGATCTTCTGCAGTGCCTTTTGAAACACTCTTTGGGGTTTCCTCTGCCACTTCTTTTACTTGAGTTTCCTCTCCTGTATCAGCACACTGTCTGTCATTGTCTGCTGATGATTCAAATACAGTGGGGAGGCTGGACAGAAAGTTGTTCAGCCCATTGGACTTGGACTTGGACTTGGACTTGGACTTTGTAACAGGATGATGGCTGGATGAAGAGTTGTTTGACTCATCATTGTTAGTCACTTGTTCGGATGCACCCACCAAATTAGCATGATCTCTTGGGAAACTGTTATTCCCCATTTGAAGACTAAACAACGAGTCATTTGAAGCAACACTCCATTCCATAGCAGAGGTCGGTTTACGACCAAAGATAGACGATGGAATCCTATTTGGATCATAACCTGTAGGTTGACCCATCATTTGGATAGGAGGGGATTGCCTTGGTGATGCACTTAACATGTTCCAATCAGGATCCTGAGCAGAAGAAGAAACTCCTGGTGATAATAGTGGTCCTAGTCTAGTTGGCGATCTTGGTGACACACTTACCATGCTCCACTCAGGTGTCTGAGGAGAAAGTTCTGGTGATGTTGTGGGTTTCGATAAGCTAGTATTATCCCGGTCAGATTTGGTAACGGAAGTAACAAGAACGATCTTTTCACCATCCGATTTCATTTCAATATGTGGATCACCCGCCTCACAAGTTGACTTGGCATGCATCCTTCAATCCTTACTACTACTACTCCTGTGTACATGGCCCATTGGTTAGAGCCCCTCAAAAAAAAAAAAAAAAAAAATCACTAACCACAAGTAATTGACCTTATATGAGTAAAACATGTAATATAATCAGTTTATCAAATGCATAATTTCTACAACATAGTGTTTGTTAACCCTTGCACAATTACAACAAAAAAAGTACTATTACACTCCAGTAATTTCTACGACATAGTGTTCTTTACACTTTTCTTTTTCTTTTCCATTGCTTTGCGAAAATCAAAGGGAGCCATAGGTTACGGCATGGAAAAGGTTTAAAATGAGATGAAAAATTAAAACTTCAGACACATGTGGGAGGCAGGTCAATTTGACAAAGCCCCAAATTTTTAAGGATCAAATAGCAGTAATCCATTTATCTAATTCTTGCTTTTAATACATTGTTACAACAAAGTGATTCAATTGAACTATGGAAAAATATCCAACAGAAGCAACACACTTGATGAGATGACACATTGATGAGGTCGTGTTGTGCAACAGGGACCATAGTGTAACGGTTTGATGGTTCTAGGTTGATATTAATTAAAATATAAAGCTCCATATAGCTTACTAAATCTAACTTAATTGATTCACAAGGACAAGGTCGCTTTTTTTTTTTTTTTTTTTTTTTTCTGGCTTATTAACCATTCCACGCAATTTCACACAACTGATTTAGGGCTTCTTTTCTGTTTTTTTGGCCTTTTCGTACAAAATTTGCAGTTTATAGCGGATATATATATATATATATATATATATATATATATATATATATATATAACTGTGTGTGCATATACATCATCCAATTTGCAGTAGGATACATTTTAGTTTCCAGCAAGTGAATTTTGTGCATTCAGTCTCGATAACTAAAGAAGATCATCAACTTCCGGGAAAAAAATAAATAAATAAATAAAGAGGATCATCACAATTATATATAAAAGTTTCAAGAAATTGAACTCACTCGAATTTTCAAGAAAACCATTGACGTCCCCAAGAGGTTGTTGATGATGAGCAGTCTCAGATTTACCATAAATGGCTTTGAAAATGAAGAACAGGGGAATTTAAAGACAGGAAGATATATGTATTAGTCGACAGAAGAAAAAAAAAAAAGGGAAAATTAGGGCACTGGAAGAGAGAGAGAGAGAAGTGGGGTGTTAGGGTTTCATCTGAGAGAAAATTTGCTAAAAATGGGGTCAGCGACTGTTTCGTGGTTGCTAATAAGTTCTCCTACAACGAACCCAGGATGGCTGCAGTTATTTTCACCCCCCTCACCAGTTGGCGCCATTCTTATAACTAACGCTCTTCCTGACGCGGGAAGACAAGTCATTCGTGTGAGAATTTTGTTACAAAGGCCGACTTTACTTATTTATTTAACTGATTGAGATGAAGTTTTGAATTTTCATTCTAAATAGTATTGTCTAAATTTAAAAAATTTGTTTTTTTTATAAATCCTAAAAAAAAATTTAGACAATTAAAAATAATACTCACCCACTTTACCAAGTCCCCTGTTGTACAAACTAACACACGTGACCTAGTGGATGATGGCCTAGGGAGTTTTCGGGAAACCATAAATTAAAATGTGCTAAGTCTTTTAAAAAAATTAATGTTATGCTCTCAAAGTAAAATATTACTCCTATTATTGTAGAAAAATGAAGTGCAATACTCTAATTTGATGTTTTGAATGGTTTCACATACAATGTGGGCCACCCACAGTCCATGTGGTTGTTCAATTTCATTTTTTTTTTTTTTTTTTTCCTTTTTTGGAAGTAATTTTAAATTTTTTACAAAATGCACTCCTAAATTATCTTTTAAAATTCTATCTTTTAACTCTCTTTTTTTATAATTATTATCATCTCTCTTGCTTCTTCAAATTTATTTGATCATCAATCAAACTCTATTTTTTTTTTTCTTTAAAGTCTTTTTTTTTTTTTTTTATCTTGTTCATTGTCTTCTTTTGTCTCTCCCCAAAAGGCATATCTATTTTGTTTTTATTTTTATTTTTAAATATTTTTTTTGACTCGAAGAGTTATACTACTTACCAAATAGGCATGTATCTATGTTGTAGCACTAGAAAATGTTACTAAACAAATAAGGAATAAAAAATAACCATGGAATCTGAGGGTATTTTTGAAAATAAGATGAAGAAGTGAGGGCAAGAAATGAATGAAGTAAGAGGCTCAGTTCCATTATATTATCTGTTATCGCCAACATTGGTAAATGTTTCATATCAAAGCTCCAATTACAGAAAAAAAATGCTGAAAGCCGCCTCCAATAAGATACTGATGGAGGGAGCAATGGGAACGCACATATTCAGAAATAGAATTCAAAGTTTCATCTGTAAGCCCTATCATTATTTCCTTAATTTACAGAATAACCACTTGGCTACTCTTATTAATTATATTTTCTGAACTCTTCATCGTATTACTTGTTTGAATCTTTGGAAACGAACATGAATATCATCAAACAACTACAGTTAAGTTCTAGATTTTGTCAAGCTTAGTCGTCTGTTGGCGAAAAATACAACATACGTTCATAAAGTGAAATAAATTCATGAATGCCCCAAAAAGAGATTTACAGGGTTGTATTGAAACCTTAATTATATGTTCTTAAATTCATAGGGAAAAAAAAATGGAATAAACATAGGACATTAATGGAGTTTTGAAGGTATCAAAGCTAGAAAGAAAGCGACATCAATGATATATAGTGTGGATTATAATATACTGTATTTAGATGCTAGTGTAAAATACTGAAAAGCGTCATTACTTACAATTTTTGCAGGCAAAATAGCATCAAGCCACCATAATCAAACTCCAATTCATCCATGGTCGATAACGAAGAATTTTAGTGCTCCACATTATCTCAAAGTGCCCAATATAGCAAGCCAGCACAGAGAAACAGTAAAGGTGAATGTTGTGTTCTTCCTGGTTGAAACACCATTTCCGAATTTTGTTGTGTCATATGATGTCTCAGTGACATTGCTTTTATTAGCAACCAGATTTCGATCCTATTTTTACTTCTTTTGACATACATTGTTTAGTTGTGAATTCCTACCTTATTCCTTTTCGATCATTGATTATTCTCGGTCAGGTTTTTGCGATAAGGAGGAGAAGGGCAAATACGCAGACAGACACATATGTGCTATTGGAACCGGGACAGAATGAGGAGTTTGTCTCCGAGGAAGAATTGAGAGGCAGGTTGAAAGGTTGGCTCGAAAATTGGCCCGGAAAGACCCTGCCCCCGGACCTTGCAAGGTTTGAAACCATTGATGTTGCTGTAACATACCTAGTAAAGTCTGTCTGTGAACTTGAAATAGATGGAGATGTTGGTTCAATCCAATGGTATGAAGTTCGTATGGAGTGAGAAACAATGATTTGAGTTTTAGTCCCCCAATAGATGTCACACGTATTTTCTTAATTTCCGTGCTTTTAAGATGACATGAAACATCATGAGTTTGTATCAGTGTAAAATGCATCTTGGCCGTGTTTAGTTAATGGATTGTATATCTTTATTGATTTGCATAAAGATAATTTCAGGACTTGTAGATTATAAAGTTTGCCATGTTCTGGTTTATGAAATGTTCCTAAATTATTAAGGTTTTCAAAAGGTCAAACAAAACAGGGACATGGCCAAAGCAGAACTTAATGGGACAGATGTTTGTGAACTGTGGACTTTTTACCTAACTAATGGCAAGAGAAATTATTACAAGTTGGGCCTTTGGCCGAACAAGCCAGAGATCTGGCAACACAAGCGCAAGAGAGCAACCCCAAACAAGACTAAAGCTAGCCCAACCCAAAAAAAATCTTAAATCATGGATTAACCAACTGAATTATAGCAGTTAAATAAGGATTTCAGGCTACACTATCCCGGTGAGCAACCTAGATCTAGATGAACTACGAGAGAAGCGTCGTTGCACGACCTTCGATTTTCAACCTGGAGGTCTCGGTGCTATCGATTCTCAAAATGAGTCTTCTGGTTCATTATCCCATAATTGGGCCTATTTGGTAAGCTTTTTGTTATAATAGGATACTATTGATGAAAAAAACATGTTTAATAAAAACTGTTCTTGAATAGTGGTCAAAAATCAAAACAACAATTTGGTGTTTTTGTATGTTTCAGCATTGTAGCGATAAACAATAATTTTTTTTTTAAACTAACCATTATATTTTTCAAACTTGCAATATTTTGATTCAAATATATTTTTATATTTTTATTTTTAAAAATCTTGCAACAAATAATCGTTACCGAACATGTTTTAAATTAATATTTAAAACACTTTATAATAAAACACTTATTTTGTTTTGAATTAAAATAAAACGCCTAACATGCCTTAAATAAATAGGATGCAAACAATAAAGACACTAAATAGTCTTCTCAAAAGAGAGCCGAGCAAATTGGTGATGGCCAGAATGGGAACCCAAAATATACGTAAGACATCTCATCAGAAGTGCTCTGCTATGTTGCTATGACAATGAGCTTCCAACCTTTTGGGGACGAAAGTTGTAAAAGAGATAATGTGACAAGTACTGAAGGCAACACAAGTAGTAATTAAACTATATTTAAATCAAAAGGTCCTACTTGCTAAATGCAACCTATCAAGTGTCAATTGAATATGAAAAAGAAAAAAGAAAAAGTGTCATTAGAATTATGCCCTAATTATTAAAGTACCTATAAAAGAAAATTTAATAACGTTTTTTTTTTTTTTTAAGAGGATGGTGGTAATCGGCCCTGTCATAATTTACTATAGGATACATGTTATCTCCTATTTTGCATACATCATGCAATTACCAAAAAAAACCTCCCTAAAAATGATGAAAATTGTAATACAAGGTACAGTGGCCCTCGTATGGTCCATTCCTTAACCCAGAACCAGAAGTAGTGGGATTGTCACATTGACAATGAGTACAACCACTCCACACCCACCTTAATCATATATTAACATTACATGGTGAAAATGACCCCAGTAATCCATGGATCTAGATATATTTCCAAAGCAAAGCAGCTTGTTTAAAATTTTAAATAAAAAAAAAAAATTACTAATTTAAAGAAATGCCAACCAGTCTGACCCTCTGTGGTAATCGAAGTTGATCTCCAACAAGAGGACATCATTCATCTCATATATACTAGTGCACACGTGCTTGTATTTTACTAAAATGATAAACCTTAGGATTCTCGTATACTATTTATATACTGTAGTTGATTGACTTGGACCCCATTTTCATGCCCGTAAACATGGAAGTGGATGAGGCTATAACTAGAAAATACAATTCTTAGATTTATTCCTCGATACCATTCCACCTTGAAAATAATTCTTCTTTACATGATATAGTTTTGTGTTGCGCACCTTGTCGATGCATATGTATATTAATTGTATTTGGAAAGTACAAGCAACCTCGAGGAATTTTTTAACTAATTATTTAATGGATATGAGACGAGACTTCTAAATTTGGTGATAAAATAAGATAGAAAATTTTAAAATTTTAGAGATATCGTACTTGTGAGTGTTCCAATCCTTCAATATGGTGGTAGAATTTACTCAATAGATAATCCAACCATTGAAAACAGGGACTGATATAAGGTGGGCTATGGAGGGCTTGAGTCCATATATTTTTTTGGTATAACCCACTCCATTAACAATTTTTGGATCCGCCCTTTATTGGGAGACTCAGAATATTGTAGAGGCCCGATAACATATAGTGATGGTAATGGGGCAATTTGGGACAGGAATCTCATTCCCATCTCTATTTAATTTTTTCACCCCAGAACCATTCCAAAATCCATCGGATTTTTCAAAGCAGCCCTCATTCCCATCTCTATTTACATAATCGGTTTTTCAAAATCACCCCAAACAGGCCAAGTCCCGCCGAGTTGGCGATATTTATCATTCGTACTAGCAGTTTTCCTTTTTTCACAAGACTTAAAGATATGAAACGAAATGAAAGTTAGAATTTCATCCTCTCTATATATATTTAACCTATTTTAGTAATATATCATAATATGTAAGAATAATTTAATAAATTTATTATATATTTGAGACAAAACGGGGAGGGGCAACCCTCTCCCGAAACAGTCCCAAAATCCGTCTAGTTTTTTAAAACAACTCATATTATTGTCCTTATTTATATAATCGATTCCGTAAAATCTTTCCAAAGAAGATCTAGTGGGTCCATCGAGGTACGAATTTTTGCCATCCCTACTAACAAACCAACATCATGGTACTTAAAAATAAATAAATAAAATTGTACCACGGCTGTTATAGTCTTATTCATACCGAAAAGACTATGGAACAAATTCATGGTGGTACAATTGTACATATATTTGGAATCAAGAGACCACCAAGATTTTGAAATCAAATCCTTGGAAAAAAATTAACAATTATGAAATACGAGTCACTTCCATAATTATAATTGAAATACGTGCTCATTTTGGTGAGATACAAGGAATTTGAAGGCTCCATCAAACAACTAGCTAAGACACTTATGGGACCATCAATTTGTCACTGGTGGTTTTGGATTCTACACTAGGGCCATGGAAGTTAGACAGACTGTCCCTTTCCAAGACAAAGTAGAGATCAATGGCCTCTGATATATATGTGCCAGATTCGTTATATCTGGCTAGAGTTCATCAACCAGGTCGTCTTTTCTTTCAAAATTTTGATAGCCCGATGTATAACATCTTTGCGGAGAATCATGGAGATCGTTTGGACTATCAAAAGGTTAAACGGGTAGTTGATACATTTTTTCAAATCAAAATAGATTGTTCCATTTTGAAAAGATGTATCAGTCTGTTCATATAATCTTTCAACAATTCAGATTATATAATCATCGACAACCCGTTTTACATCATATCCTTAACAAATAAATACTATCATGATTACCAGATTCCTTATATCTAGAGTTCATCTAACATGTTGTCTTTTCTTTCAAAAAATTGTCACGACACGTTGCGGAGAATCATGGAGATCATTTAAATGACTATTAGAAGGTTAAATGAGTGGTTGATATAAATTTTTTCAAATCAAAATGAACTCGTCGATGGTATCTCAAATAAAAGAAATTGTCAAACCTATCCATATGGTATTTCAACGATTCAAACTGTATAATCCATAACCCCTTCTACATCATATCCTTAAGAAATAAAAATCATTATTTAGCTCCCCATTCCCGGCCAAACGTACTACAAGGATATGATGTACAAGGATATGATGCAGAAGGGGTTATGAATTTCGATTTGTGTTTAGTTTTTTTTTTAATAACTAATCTTCAGTTACGAAAACTAAAAATTATTATGAATATTATCAAGATCATCATATCAAGATTTAAAAGTTATGGAGTATTTATTAATATTATTACAACTTAATTGAATTTTCTTAAGGTTACAAAAAAAGAAATAAAATTTTTTAAATTAAACACAAAACTTTTAGAAGTTACTTATGAATATTGTTACAATTAAATTGAATTTTATTAAATTAAATATAAATCTTGATAATATATACAATGGTTCTTATTGAATTATTCAGAGTCATAGGTTATATAAATATGCATGAAGTAATTATATATATGGTAAAGTGCAAAAAAAATCCTGAATTATGTTGGAATTTGTAAATAAATTCCCTTGAAGCATATTTTGTGCATAAAACTTCATGAACTACCATATTTAGTTGCAAAATACTCTCAATGTCTTCACTATATTTTATTAAATGGCCATAATGCCCTTTATTATTAAATTGCACTTAATCTATTTTTCTTATTGAAATAAATTGTGAAAAAAATTATACTAATTTGATGACATCTTCTCCATTAAATTTGCATAAATTTACCCTTAATTTTTTAAATTAATTTTTAAATAAAAATCTTAAGTAGAAAATTTTAAAAAAATTTAAGTAATTTCTTAATTTTTCATGAATATATTGCATAAAAAGTAAGGTATTTTTTATTTAGAGAATTTATTAATTTTTCATGAATATATTGTATAAAATGAAGGTAATTTTTATGGTATTTATAGTGAGTATAATAAGTTTTATTATAAATAGTAAAGTTTTAATAATAAGTTAATCATTTTAGAAAATGGGAGATCCAAATCTATTTATTTATTTTTTAAATTTTTGATAAATTATAATAATAAAATTAAGATAAATAGTATAATTAATATTTAGATAAGAAAAAAGATGACAAAAATAATTTAATAAAAAATGATAAATATAATGATAAAAGGTAAAATAATCTTTTGTAATAAGTTTATTCTTAATTGTAACAAATTAATATTTCAGAGAGGTAATTTATAATTCAAGATGGTTGTTTATAAAAGGGTAATAGTTCAGAATATCTTTTACACTTTTCCTTTATATATATATATATATCTTGAACTTTATAGTAGTATAAAAATCACAGTGGAAATGGAATTGACGCTCCTTTTTTTAATTGTGAATGCCCGCTACTCTATATCATTTTTATGTAATAAAAATTACTTAAAAGAAAAACTCTTGCAATAAACATATTTAATTTAGAATAAAACAAAAAATGACACAATCGCGCACAGAGAAATTATATTAAT